TTTGGGAGTGATAATAGTAACTGCAAGTTTCAAAAAGAGATTATTTTATGACCTGAAGTTTAATTTACATTTTCCAGGTTAGTGATGGATTTCTTTATTAACAACACTATGACTTGGGAATTGTGTAGGATAAAGTCATGTTGTCCCCTGATAATATTTGTTTTTAAGTGTGTGAATCACATTTTTTTATTTTAACTCTCCTTCTAGAGGCCTTTTTCAATTAAACTGTAATGTACTAACTATTACTGGGCATATGATTTTTTTTTTTACCTTGCTGTTGCATTAAAATTGCATTAACTACTTCAAACTAAAATTTTAAATAATTTCATGGTATAAGTTATTTGCCATATTAAAGAATAAAGCTTTTAAAAACAAATAAGTATGCAAAATTCCACAAATACTGATTTCTTTTAATTATTCAAAATAACTTTTTTTTTCTTCTTTATATTTTATATTTTAAAACTAAATATTAAAAGTATAAAAAAGGCAAAAAAAATCCACAACAAATAATGTCTTGAACTGAAGACTAATAAGTCAACTAAGCATCATGGCTAAGTAATAGCTAAGAAAAGGTATGCCATGAGCTTCAGCTTTATGTTTAAATTTTAAAAAACTAATGCAATCTATATGCTCTTCAGCTCGAAAATAGCATAAATGTGCATTTTAACCTACAAATATTTTCCAATTATATCTTATAATCAATTAGCACAAGCAAATAGAGGAAGTAAAATATTCAGTCCTTTGTGTTTAGCTGTTTCAGAACTGGTTTAGTGGAAAGTTACTTTAAAAGTTTAATTTTCATTTTCATGAGAAAGATGCTTGTATTGAAGTAGTGTGCAACTGAGGTCCTCTACTGTTACAGCTGAATATAACACCAGCTTTTAAGATTTTGTGAAGTTTGTGCCAGAGAGAGAGAGAATGAACAAGGACAAAAGTGATTACTACTTTAGCGTTGACAGCATAAAACACAATGAGCTAAAAACAAAAACAAAAAACTAGGTGCTTTTATTTGTTGATCAATCTTTCTTTGTTTTTAAGAAAGAAGAAAGGGTTGTCATGCTTTCATAATCACATTTTATTAATGTAATTATAATTGTTTTAAAGTTTGTAATCTTTTCCTTTATGTAGTTGATTTATTTTTTGAGAATTTTAATGAAAACTGTAAGTTCTTGTTTCTCACAATTCCATATTTGCTTAGGACTGGCTATTGTGACAACTTAACATGGTAGAAACTATTGATAAAAAGGCATAGTTTACAGGTTAGTTTAAAAAAGCTTTATTAATAGTAAGGGTTTTTTGTTTGTTTTTTAAACACTTCACAGAGAATATCAACTTATTTTTTTATTTTAAAATATAGCTCAGAACCAGAAATTACCAAATAATTAAAGAAAAAAAAATAGTTTGAGAGAAAGAGAGCCAAAGGAAAAAAACACACACACACACAGTCTTACCCAGAGAAAATGAAGCTAATATACTTTTTTGCTTCCTGAATTAAAATAATTCTAATAACTCTCCTCAGAGAGACTCAAAAGAGTAACAAAGCCATAGGCAAGGAACATGATCCAATGAAAAGGAATAACTAGATATCAGAAGAGAGATCCTAAATTAAATAGTAGAGTACATAGGCTAAAGGCCATGCTCATGGGAAATAAAACAGAAAATTGATATAGAAAATAGATCCAATTTTCTTCTGCTCACCAAGAGTTTCAATTAAAAGATACAGTGGAAGGTGAAAATAATGAAAAATATAACAAATCAACTTTTTTTGTATTAATGGAATATGAGTCTTAAAAGGGCATACCTAATGTTACTAGCACAAATGCACAAATGGCCACGCTCTAGGCATATTGGGCTAAAATTTTGTCCAAAGATAAAGTGAAAAACCATCCTGAAAGCCTCCAAAGAGGCATAACATGGTATCTGCAACAAAGAGAATCAGGTGGACATTAGACTTCTCCACATTAATGAAGAACACTCAATGACGATGAAGAAATCCAAGTTTGAGGGCATGAGTGAGATATTTGAAGACATGCTGTGTTTTAAAATTAATTTCCCCTATGAATTGTGTATTCTCCACCTTGAGGACTTGCTTACTGTGCCCTCTGCCTGATAACACATTTCTGAGAGAGCTGAATATCTCTTTCACTTCCGTTAGATTTCTGCATAAATATTACCTACTTAATGAAGCTTTGCTGGATCAAAATGTTGCTAAGGATATCCTAAATAATAAAAACCCAGCGACTGATTGGTGGAACTACCAGAACAATCGGTTGGTCAGTCATTATGATGCGCACTGACCACCAGAGGCAGAAGCTCAATGCAGGAGCTGCCCCCTGGTGGTTAGTGTGCTCCCACAGTAGGAGCACTCCTGTTTAACCAGGATGAGCAGCACTCCCACAGCAGGCAATCCTGCAGGCCAGCCCCCTACCAGTGCATGAATCACAACTCTACCACTGTGAAACTTGACTGTTTTGAGCAAGTCGACCTCTGGAGTGTTAATTCTCTCTCCTTTAAAATGAGAACAAGAGACCGGCGGAAGTGGCTCAGTAGTTGAATATCAACCTGTGACTCCGGAGGTCAAGGTTTGACTCCCTGTCAGGGCACATGCCAGGTTGTGGTCTCAATCCCCAGTGTGGGGCATGCAGGAGGCAGCCGATCCATGATTCTTTTTCGTCATTGATGTTTCTATTGCTCTCTCCCTCTCCCTTCTTTTCTGAAATCAATGGAAGATACCCTTCTATATAATAAATTCCTAATATGCAAATTGTCCCTTTACCCAGGAGTTCAACCACTGACTGTGACCCTAACCCAGAGGCCCATGCTGCATCCTGGCCCACAGTGTCTGGCCATGATCACTTCATTTCTGCATGAGGACTCAGGTGCCATGACTCAGGCAGAGGGGAGCATGCGGGTTCTGGGGGACCAGTTGCTGCCCAGGGCCCACAGTGTCAACTGGAACCTACACTTCCATGCCAGACACTTGTGCTTCAATCACCAGCCTGGCCTAGGGACTGCACCCATGCCCACATTTTGTGCACCTGGCCTCCAGTATCCTATCTAATGAAATAGTAATATGCAAGTTGACCATAACTCTCACACAGAAGATGGCTGCCCCATGTTAACATAAGATGGCCACCACAACATGGCCAGCAGGGCAGGGCAATTGGGAGGGACCAGGGCTGCAAGGAAGGGCATTTGGGGATAATCAAGTCTGAAGGGGAGGGCAATTAGGGGTGACCAGGCTGGCAGAGGAGGGAAGTTGGGAGGGACCAGGCCTGCAGGGAAGGGCAGTGGGGGGACCAGGTCTGCAGGGGAGATCAGTTGTTGGGGAGACCAGACCAGCAAGAGAGAGCAGTTAGGGATGATGAGGCTGGCAGGGGAGTGCAGTGGTGGGGACGTGGCCTGCAGGGGAGGGCACTTGGGAGGGACTAGGTTGGCAGGGAGGGTAGTTGGGGTGACCAGGATGGCAGGGGAAGGCAGTTAGAGGCAATCAGGCTGGCAGTTAGGCATCAGTCAGTCTGGCAGGGGAGTGGTTAGGGAATGATCAGGCAATTAGGAAAGCAGGCCAATGAGGAGTTGGGAGCCAGCAGTCCTGGTTTGTGGGAGGATGTCCCAGATTGGAGAGGTTCAGGCTGTGCTGAGGAACACCTCCACCCCCCCACCCTCATGCACAAATTTTCTGCACTGGGCCTCTAAAATAAATATATATATATATCCTACATCCTCTCTTCTCTTTTCTACTTTTTGTCATTTGATCACTACATATCATATTATATATTCAGTTATTTACTTGGTTAGTCTTCAAGAGTGGAATGCAGGTTTTTAAATCTCATTTAAAAATTGACAGTATAAATAATAAAAATCAGAAGTTAGGAAAGAAAAATGGGAAGGTTGTAAATGTATATTAATTATATCATTATGCATAGTGAAGAGCTAATTATCCTATCTAATAAAAAGGGAATATTCTAATTGACCCTCACACTGTTGCAAAGATGGTGGTTCCCACAGCCAATAATGAGGGAATATGCTAATTGACTGTCCTGCCCTTAAAGATGGTGCCACCCACACACACAGTCAACAAGGTGGAAATATGCTAATTGACTACCTCACCCTTAAAGATGGTGGCATTCACAGCCAATAAGGAGGCAATATGCTAATTGGTTATCACGCCCTCAAAGATGGTGGTGCCCACAGCCACAAGGTGGCAGCACCCAGTCCCCTCAACCCTGCTGGGGCAGCAGGCGTATGACAAGGCTGAGTCCCCGAGTCTCCTCAGCCCCCCAGGGCCAGCCCAAGGCACAAGCAAGCCTAGGATGGCAACTGCCCAGCCACCCATGGCCGGCCTGGAGTTATTTCTAACTCCCCACAAGAATGATATCTGATTTTTCTTTTTTTTTTTTCTTAATGGAAAGAGATGAAGAGGGAAAGAATAAAAAGAAACTGGTCATCTTTATGGAAGATGTGTTAGGCAGAGGGAATAAGATAAGAGTTAAATAAAAATGTTTGATAAATATAAGGTACTATAAGTTGCTTTGTGGATTGATATGAAAAGAAGCATGTCTCTCTGCCATAAAATATATTGTAGTTATATTTCAGGGACTTAGTTATTTTTTGTTTTGAGCAAGATAGATGATTTTCATTCAGTTGGTAGAACCAATCTGCCATCTATCTGAAACTTTCCTAACAATTTGGCATAGCTAAACCTACAGAATGTCAGTTGCACACCACCACAATTAAATTTTCTTCCAGGAGAGAACAGATGTGCTATTAGTGTAGCCTTTAGGAAACTGTAAGATCTTTCTCAGATATAATCCTATTATAGTTATAAAATGCAAAATATTTACACGTGGATATTTTAGAAAATGTATAGACTATTCTCTCGTAATAGAAGAGAAACAATAAATATAATTTTGAATTTTGTCACAAAACCTTAACTCATTCACTAAAATTGGTTTTATATCTATTTTGTAATTGATCTGTGACTTTTGTTTCCTTTGTAGCTGTTCAAAGGTTTTGTGCATAGCATTTGAGGTACTCCAGGGCTTGCAGTATATGAACAAACATGGTATAGTACATCGGGCGCTGTCTCCTCATAATATCCTTTTGGACCGAAAGGTAATTGCCAAATAATACATTAAATGTTTGTTTATTATTTGAGGTTGAAAGCTACTGAAATCAAGCCCACTTTGTTAATCAGAGAGTAGGATAAGAATATGTTTTAAGATTATTCATAACGAAAAGACTGTGTGAAAGCTAGCTAACATCTGTGGTGTTAGAAAAAAGCAAGTGTAATTAAATTATGTAAGTCCATGTGTTTTTCACATGCATTATTCTTTTTTCCCAAAAAGTCAGTTTCTAACATCCGTTTTGTTTTCTCTTCCATTCATTTTCTAAAAAAAAATATGCATTGCAGCTTCTTGATCCACGCCTGCTCTGAATTTGCTTTCATCCTAAGAAAGCCTATCAGTTTTCATAGAATATTTTTCTCATAGTACAATTGCATTGTATTTTCTCCTCTTTGTTTTCTTTCCCCTGTTTTCTCTTCTATATTTTACTTTTCATTTACCATTTGTTCACTTTTTTTGGAGTGCTGCTTCTCTACTTGCAAATCTAGTGGGTGATTAGTAAGAAGCTAGTCAATCCTTCTAGATTAGATATATGTTCGGAAATAATAATTATTTCATTCTTTTTCATAAGCATATAAAAATAGTTTTGAAGGAATATTTTCTGGGGAATTATTTTCTGTTAGTAGGATTGCTCTTTTTCCCAGTTTCTCTTACAGACTTTCAGTACAGTTACCCAGTGATATTAAAAACCACAAAAGAGAATATGGTACTTATGAATTTCATATTAATATTTATAGCAGTAAAGTATCTAACCAACCTGAATTTCTTTAAATTATAAACATTTTGTAAGGCTTAGAAATAAAGTTCTGAGATAAAGGAAACAACCCAATTTTAAAATCTACTTAATTTTTTAGTGTTAAATATATAAAAGGGGAAAATTTAAGGGACTTATAAAATATATTTGCCTTTTATTAAGAACCTCAATTTTGTGATAATTATAACTGTTCTAAAGCAAATAAAAAATGGTTTGAAATATAGCAGATTCACTAATATTTGATGTTTTCAGACCTGATGTTTTCAAATTAAGAACTCTCATGTCAGAGTTAAATTATAATGTTATGGATGGACTTGCTATATCCTAAAAAAAAATATTTTGTGAAAATTACCCTAAAATATTCTAAGTAGGCATTCAGGGCAAACAAGAAGACTTGCTTTTTTTGCTTTGTCAGAAAGCCTGGAAAGTACAAAGATAAAAAATGTTTATGCTTGTGTATGTATATACATACATATATGTGTGCATATACATGCATATAAATATATATTTACATACATACATTATATTTGTAAGAAGTGTAAAGTAGACTAAACATTGGCAAGTAAGTTTTTAATAAAATTGTGGTAAATTTATGTATATATTCTAATGTATCTGACTATATAATGGTTCCTTTACTTATAAAATATATATTATTTTTCCTGCTAATATTAAAATGTTTCATAGTGATTTTTTTCCATTTATTTTCATAGGGACATGTTAAATTGGCTAAATTTGGACTTTATCACATGACAGCTCATGGTGATGATGTTGATTTTCCAATTGGGTAAGAATATGTTTTCTTTTTTTAGTTTTGTCTTAAAATTTATAATCTCTATTATAGCTTTTCTTTATTAATATACCTCACTTAATGATTCTCCCTTAATGTGTGTTCCTTAAAAGACTGAGAAAAATCACTCTCACATTATTTTTCTTTGTTTCTGAGTTTAATTCCCTGTTTTTAATGTTAACTGCATATTAAGATTCTAGCTTAATCTTTGTATATTTCAGAGGTAGTGGGGTAGAATCTACAACTGAAAGTCTGTGTTTAAGTTTCTATCCCTTCTGTTATAGAAATCCAGGTTTATGCAGGCCTCCAAGAAAAGAATGAAAGTTTTTAAAAAAATATATTTTATTGATTTTTTTACAGAGAGGAGGCGAGAGGGATAGAGAGCTAGAAACATCGATGAGAGAGAAACATCGACCAGCTGCCTCTTGCCCACCTTCTACCTGGGATGTGCCCGCAACCAATGTACATGCCCTTGACCGGAATTGAACCTGGGACCTTTCAGTCCGCAGACTGACGCTCTTCCGCTGAGCCAAACCGGCTTCGGCAAGAATGAAAGTTTTTTCACCCTGTACTCAATGGTGTGCTTTTGACATAGAGCTTAGTGTTATATTTGTTGTGTGGTGGCTTTTTAAACATTTTAATGATATAATTTTTCAGTGTTTAACATTTTATTTAAGATACATGTAAGTTATAAACTAATACCAAGAATTCTTATATACCCCTTACCCAGATTCCTCAAATATTAACATTTAACTACATTTGCTGTATCTTTTTCTTTCCTCTTATACATACTTCTGTATGTGTGTATACATATAGCTTTAAATCATTTAAGTGTAATTAGTGCTTAAAATGGCCTTTACACCTAAATATTTTAGCTTGTATTTTCTAAAGTAAAATTTTTTTGTATATCCCACAAACTAATTATTAAAACCAGGAAATTAAAATTGATATAATACCATTACATAATTAGGGACCTTTATCATACTTTAGTGTTGTTGTGTGGTGTTTTTAATAGTATCTATTTGTGTTTTGCTTTTTGGAGTCTATAAAATCTGTTCTATCACTCCATTACTGAGAATTGTGGATCAAAGTAATGGAGTGTGTTTCTGCTTAAAAAATTAATTAGATAATTTTAAAAGGTCTCATTTATAAATTACCCTTATATCTTTAAAAGTTAAATTGTAGATTTCTTACCTAAATTTTTCATTTGTTACTACATAGCCAATCTTGAGTTTAACTGTTTAGTCATTCTTTCCTTTATTTATCAAGAAAATATTTATTGAGCACCTTCTCTTCTGGCTGCTGATATATAAAAATCAGTAAAATAGGTTCCTATCCTCAAAAGACTCATGGTTTCCGAAACCAGTTGGGCTCAGTGGATAGAGCGTCAGCTTGGGGACTGAAGGGACCCGGGTTCGATTCCGGTCAAGAGCATGTACCTTGGTTGCGGGCATATCCCCAGTAGGGGGTGTGCAAGAGGCAGCTGATCGATGACTCTCTCTCTCTATCTCTCTATCTCTCTCCCTTCCTCTCTGTACAAAAATCAATAAAATATATTTAAAAAAAAAAAGACTCATGGTTTATTGGGACTTTTTGTTTTGTTTTGATAGCCTACTTAATACAGTGCATAAATTCATAATTTTGAAGTTTTGCATTTCAAAACTTGTGCTCATAGGCAACAAATAATTGTTACAAACACTAAAACTTATTTTGTAAAACTATCCTATACTTTTCCAGCTGGTTTGGCTCAGTGGATAGAGCTAGACCTGGGGACTGAAAGGTCCTAGGTTCGATTACAGTTAAGGACACATACTCAGGGTTGTGGGTTCAATCCACAGTGTAGGCGTTTGCAAGCAAACGCCTACACTGTGGATTCTCTCTCATCATTGATTCTATCTCATCATTGATATTTCTCTCTCTCCTTCTCCCTTTCTCTCTGAAATCAGTAAAAAAAATAAGTAAAAAATAAAAATAAAATAGCCTGCACTATGATTTTTAAAAAAACATTTAAATATAATAAAAAATACATTCACAATAAAGCTCTATTCAGTACCTTTATTATATGTGATAATTACCTTTTGAAGTTAAAGAGCTATAACAAATGTGATTCCTTCTGCTTCTTCATTTTGTCTGAATCAGTTTGACATGAGAGAGAACCCCAAAAGTACTAGTACAACGTAAACCAATATTACTTTAATTTGTTACCTTTTACTTAAAGGTGTTTTAGGTTATAATGATGAATAGAAAAAAGGAAATGATTTTTCTTAAAGCACATCAAGCATTTTTTAACTACATTTAAATCTAAAATGCTTGGATGGAATTAGTCTTATGTGGCCATTTGGTCTTGCTTACTTTGAAGTCTTAGACCCAAAGGTTCTGAACAGAAAGTATCAAAGAGCAAAATATGAAACATTAGCCAGGAAAAATAAAGTGATCAAAAAGCTAAGGCATGAAAGAAAATATTTACACCAAAGAAGCTTACAGTTGATTCAAAAGACAAATATTAAGGAACAACAAAGTAAAATGTTAACATCTGTTTCAAAATATTATAGAGTTAGAAATTGGACATTCATTTTAGTGGGCCAGTAGCTTAATATCTTGTTAAAACTTCAAACAGATTGTGAAAGTCACTTATATTTACCTCACCAGTCATATAGCAATGTTCTGGTAATTTTCTCTGCATGATAAAATACTGTGTTAAAGAAGTGGTACTTGTTAAAAGGAGATAATCTACATTAAAGAAGATTAGGGCCTATTGTTTTCATTAATTAATTTAATCATTAATTGATTCGAGCAAGGAGTCCCTCTATGCTTCCATAGATCACCAATCAGAGTTTTAGGTATAATAATAATCTATATATACAGAAGCCTAACATGCAAAGTGTCCCCTCGGGAGTTTGACCAACTGGGAGTTCAATCACTCACTATGACATGTGTTGAACACCAGGGGGTGTTCATACATATGTAGGAAGAATAAAGGAAGGTCCCAGCCTGCAGCTGGCAGCTAGGAAAGGGAGGCCCTGGCTGGCAGCCACTAGGGACTCTACCTATGCACAAATTTTGTGCACTGGGCCCCTAATTTATCTATATTGTTGCTTGACTTTTTACTATCCATACTATTATTTTCTGAATTAGATGTGTTGGGAATCCGGATTAAAAATGATCAATTTGCCTTTGGACACATTATGGTGATGACAAATATACATTACATTTGTGTCACATTCTCCATTTTTATTAGACACTAGAGGCCCAATGCATTTGTGCAAGTGGCTTAGCCCTCGCTGCTGCAGGGGCTGCCTCTGCCTTGGTGCCCCCCAAACCCCACACGCTGTGGCTTTGTCGGAAGGTCGTCTGGAAAGATGTCTGGTCTAATTAGCATAGTATGCTTTTATCATAATAGATGTGTGTATTCACTAATATATAACAGTTTTATTAGGTGGGCATTATTATTTCTACTTTACAGTTTAAGAAACCCAGATCATATAAAGAATATGTGTTGGGACTGAAATTAGAGCACAGGTATTATAATATCAAAGCTAGTGCTATATCCAGTAGACCTCAGTTGTTTCAAGAGATACCCCACATTCATTTAGAAGAACAGTATGATATCTTAGGGTAAAATACCATAGAACTTGTGTATGAGAGAAATACATGGATAAATTAAAAAAATATGTTAATATCACTCTCATTGTATTAAAATGAAAAGGAATTACAAAACCTATTTTGCCCATTTGAATTTAAGTTATACTTCCTGACTTAATTGACTTGTATTTTACAAACAAATAAGAAGTATTGACAATCATAGTGTGAGGAGGTGGCTGTAGAAAAACATAGGAAGAGAAATGGAAGTAATAATTGAGTGCCTGTATTACATTTATTATATAAACGTTACATATACTTAAGTATATTTTGGTTAATGTCATTATTGTAGGGTGGCATAATAAGCTAATATCATTGAATCGAAAAAATTAGATGGTTGTGCTTATGACTAAACCAGACAATAAATGAGTAAAATTCTGCAGCAAATAGAGCAGAATTTTACTGTTTTTTTTTTCATTTATATTCTGAAGCTATATTTGCTTCTTTCCTGTCCAGGCAGTAGGATTCAAACTTAACAATTGCCAATAGGTGTGATTCTTACATATGATCTGCTTTTTAAATTGTTGGCTGTAAGGCAGACCTACCTGATACTTTGATAAGAGATTAAGCAAAAACACACGCATATATATATATATATGCACACACACACACATAGACACAGATAACAGTGTGGTGATAGAGGAAAATGTGTGGGAGTACATGGAGGTGGGCTAACAGGATATAAATAGGGATGGGGGAAAAATTGGGGCTATGGGTACATAATGTAGTGTGCAGATGATATTTTGTTGAGTTGTACATTTGAAATCTGTATGGTTTTGTGAAACAATGGCATTCCAATAAGCTCAATAAGAAAAATAAAATTTTTAGCCGAAACCGGTTTGGCTCAGTGGTAGAGCGTCGGTCTGCGGACTGAAAGGTCCCAGGTTCGATTCCGGTCAAGGGCATGTACCTTGGTTGCGGGCACATCCCCAGTAGGGGGTGTGCAAGAGTTAGCTGGTCGGTGTTTCTCATCGACGTTTCTAGCTCTCTATCTCCCTTCCTCTCTGTAAAAAATCAATAAAAAATATATTTAAAAAATAAATAAATAAACAAATAAATAATAAAAATAAAAATTTTAAGCAAAAATATACTAAGCATATCTTATATTTAAGTTTCATTGATAGTTGCTGAGGATTTATAAAAATGAATGTTGTTCCAGTGTCCTCAGTAGTTTATTTAGATAGGAGGGTAACTTTTTGTATAATAATTATCATAAACATAAAAATGTGTAATATTACATATTGGATATAGCCTATAACATAAAATATAGAAAAAGTAAAATAAATAGCTGACACTCATGATGGACCCGTAAGAAAGATACTAATAAAATACTATGGGGATCACTGAGAGGAGAAATA